CTCGTAGTAACTCGTCCCATGTATCCTCGTAGCCGGGTGAGAAAAACCCTGTAACGGCTGTACCGGAGCCCCATTAAAAGTCTCTTCTTACCAAATCGCTTCTCTCCAAGCCTCTTCTCTGCCTCTGTCTCCTTCCTTGGGGTGGGCTTGGGGGTGTCTCTGGGGTTTGGGGCCGCAGAGAGGTAAATGGGCATCAGGGCTGCCAGCACCCGCGTCCCATGTATCCTCGTAGCCGGGTGAGAAAAACCCTGTAACGGCTGTACCGGAGCCCCATTAAAAGTCTCTTCTTACCAAATCGCTTCTCTCCAAGCCTCTTCTCTGCCTCTGTCTCCTTCCTTGGGGTGGGCTTGGGGGTGTCTCTGGGGTTTGGGGCCGCAGAGAGGTAAATGGGCATCAGGGCTGCCAGCACCCGCAGGCACTGGTGTCTCTGTCCTTCCCTGTCCTGTCCCCCCATCATCCTCTGTGTCCCCTTGTCCTCTGATTCCCTTCCTCCACTCAGCATCAGCCTCTGCACGGGGCTCGCTCAGGGCCTGCAGGTGCTTCAGGAGCATCGTGGAGGTGATCGTCCATCCTGGACCAGTTCAGCCAGTGCACGTGGGCTTTACAGGACACATGGACTGGTAAGATGCTGCACCTGCTTCTCTAAAGTCTGCCCTGCTAATGTTGCTGGTGGCTTATCCTGAGCACTGGGTGTACTGGGAGGCTGGAGACCCTCCCTAGAGAAGGACCAGTGATTTCCAGCAGCTCCAGCCGACTTCAGCTGCTGGGTAGGAGCTTGGTACCAGGCCTGGTGTGGAGCAGGGCTGCTGCTTCCCTTCCCTCCTCTCTTTCGCAGCTCCTTTGGCTTCTCCAGGGCTGATCCAGCCCTGGGGAACATGAGGAAAATGGGGGTGGAAAACCAGACTGGCTGGGACCAGTTGAGATCCCCTGCGCTGGGGGTGCCATTGGGGTACACCCATGGCCGTGAACCAAACCATCCCCTGCAGTGGCAGCCGCGTCGGGGCAGGGTGGTTTTTTTCTGAGCACCTCTGCATCTCCTGGAGATTTGGGTGCAGGATGGGGGCGAGGGTCTGCAAGGGGGCAGGAGGTGGCAGAGGAGGGGTTCTTTGCTCCGAGTCCCTCCAGAACCTGGCTGTGGGGGAAAACATCACCCAGGGGCAATGCCAAGGACATGGGGACACCAGGGCAATCTGTGGGAGCGGGGATAGGGATGCTGCCAGCATCCTCATCCTCAGTGAGGGGGTGGGATGCAGGATTATGGGTGCAGCACCCATTGAGCTCAGCTCAGGGTGATGCCTGGGGCTCTGTAGTACACTTCTGTGGTGCTCACTGCTGTGATGAGCTGGATGGCCTCAACCACCCACCCTGTGGGCACTGGGCTCGGAAAGGGGCTCAGATCCCAAACCTAGGGAGGAGATGCATGTCCCCATGGCTGCTGGGAGGGTGAG